TGCACATAGCTCAGGTAACTCCCTTCTAGAGGTATCCAACGTTGAAAAAGATCGAGTGTTGCTGCTGTAGATCACTAACGTAGATGATCTGTGTCGAACGATTGGGGGCCTTCTCGAGTTAGGCGGGAATGGTGTGACGAATCAGTTTACTTCTAAGTACTACTTCGCGGTTAGCACCTAACGCGGATTAGCCCTTCGTTGTACTATGATTGTTTTGAAGGCCATATGACACAAAGGACACTATTACAGGAACATATTAGTAAGAGTAGGTACAAGGATGACAGTGCGACCACCACCGCATAGGCCAACCCATGTCGTAAGATTTATTGATGTGTGTTGATTGTTGTTGAAACTGATCAGGATCAGTGGACTATTTAATACCCACTGAGCCGACTGCCGGATGATTGTGCTAAGACTCAGTGACATTTCACAGGCCCCGCAGTACCCTGTGTTCAGAAGTCTTACGCAAACCTTGCACAAGTAACGTTTATGCGCATACTTGCCCAGTTGAACAGTAGAACTTTCCACTTACACTTCAGCGGTTTTATTTGGACCCATTTAGAACATGGAATGCAGTGTTTCTGCCCTCCAATCAAAAGAATAGGAATACATTGGAAATTATTCAAAGGTGAGTCACGAAATTAATTCGGGGACTCAAATTCAAGCTCTATGAAGAACGCCTCAAATCACTGAACCTTTACTCACAAGAGTATAGGAGTTTCAGAGGTGACCGTCCAAACACTTGAAGATGGCACGAGTATTCGGAGTTTGACAACACCCTGACCAGTAACACCTATAATCGAAGTATGCCAACCCAGTCAAATCAAAAGTCAGAAACGAAGACGTTTGAAGATATATTTGGAAGACCATCGATATGTCGGGAAGGGTTTTGTCTGAGTTGGCCAACGATCGCACGAGATGCGTATTATGGCGTACTCACTCGTGATCTGGTGTGGATGCATTGTGGTGGACCAAACAAATATGGACGCGAAAAAGTGTTAACCAAGTTATAAAGAGTAAATAAGTCCACAGCATTACCTAGAGCCTTCAGCTAGGTAAGTCCTTGGAAGCAACTCCCAGTAATCGGAAACACAACATAGTAGAACAGACTGTAGTAATAGCTCTTACCCTCTTAGTAGTCAGATTCCAGAATTCCCTGCAGGCCGAAGTAGTCCTGACGACTTCTCAGGAGTCCTTTAAAGGGGAACTTGACATATTGTTAAGGACCCAACACAATCACCATAATTCACTAATATTTTTACTTTATCGTCAAGTATAACTAGGTTCCTACCTGAAGGCACTGGTGATCCACTGCTATTAGATAGGAAAGCCCCATGTGGAGAATTGAACAAGAAACTTGGACTTCCAAGAATAGAGCCCTCACAGTCACACGGCTCACTCGGGGAAAGGAATCTAAGCATCAAAATCACCCGAGGCTACTTCGTGTAACACTTAAGAATGCTACCGACGTAGAGCATGTCTTACTAGCGAGTCATTTACTGAAATCAGATGGGAATGTAAGAATACTGCCTGACATACCGTATTCTGGGCGCAATCTCATCCGGAACATCCCCAAAGAAACTCGCGATCAGTTTTTCCGCGGGAGGAATATAATCGTGCAAGGTATACCGGAAAATACGGACCCTACTCAATCAAAGACCGACATCAGGGAATGGAAATTCATCAAACAGCCCTTGAGGCTCAAAAACATACTGACTCAGCATGTGACGAGACTAGCCAAGAAGGATGGTGATTCTAGACCCCATCTAATGAAGATAATCTTCCCATCTTCCCATATGGCGGCTGCAACTCTGGAAGCATTTCGTGCCAACAGACGTCGACTGCCACCTGGAATCCACATGCACCCGGATAGACCATACGAAGCTAGGACCAAATACAAAGGCGAATTGGAGCTAACCATTCCACTTGTGGACTGTCTAGACGATAAAAAACGTGTAAAGGACAGGGCCTACCAACTCGGCAAACCTCATATAGGTGGGCTACCTGTCCATTCACGTAAGGCTCACACAAACAAACAGGAAGAAGCTCACGCGTTCCAAATTGAAAGCATAAACTGCTTATATATGAACGCCGCGAGTCTACCAAACAAATTGGATGAACTACGTGAACTTAGCAATACTAATAAGGCCCATCTGATAGGAATATCCGAAACCTGGATATCTTCTCAGTTCTCGGACCATGAGTTAGCATTACCTGGGATGTCTTTGTTCCGCAATGACAGAAAATCAGGATTTGGGGGTGGAGTAGCTGTTTACATACATTCTTGCTTGGAGGTGCATCAAGTTCACAACCTCGAGTTTAACAATCTTGAGGAATCCATATGGTGCTCTGTAAGATTGTCAAGTACTTCGAGGTATCTAGTCTGAGTCATTTACAGGAAGCCAACTGCCGACATCGAGTACGATAGTTGTATGCTGGAAGGACAATCCCACTCTACTCGTCTCGGTTTCACACACATCCTGATTCTAGGGGACTTTAATCACCCTAGAGTCAACTTCGCGGAACACACGTATACTGGAGGCGACAACTCGATTGAAGCTCGGTTCTTCAGCCTCGTCGATGACTTGGGATTGTACGAAAATGTGAGGTCGGCAACTCGTTGGAGAAACAGTCAGACACCATAGCTCCTAGACTGTGTATTCACAAACGAAGAATTTCTAGTTGACAACCTCTCAATCCTGGCTCCCTTGTGAAAAAGCGATCATGCAGTCATAGCCTTCAGTTTTGTCAGCAAAACTAAGTCAAGATACCCCACCAATAACTTGCGCTGGAATTTTAAACGGTTGGATGTGTCAGCTCTACAGGACTATCTACAACAGGTGGTTTGGGATGTCCACCCCCAACTCCATGTGGACGGTCATTGCACACGCTCTTACGTGCTACAAACCATTCAGTTCCTCAAACGGTTCCCAAAAGCTGCAAGCCACCTACAATGATCAAGAACCGTACCCTTCGTCTGCTAAGGCGCAAAAGACACTGTTGGGCGGAATACAAACGGACTGACAACGACGGAGCGTACAGGCAATATAAACATATCAGGAACATATGCACGAAGGCTATAAGAGAAGATAGGCTTCAGTACCAGACAAAGCTTATGGACAAATTTGCCTCTAATCCTAAAGCTTATTCCGTTGTGCAGCCTCTAGTCGTCAAGCCAAAACTGGAGTTTCCCAACTGCTAGGTCTTAACGGCCCGACCAACAACGATGGCCACGCCGCTTACCTTCTGGCTGAACATTACTCCCAGACATTCCAACCGACCGACAGTAACTTTACTGATGACAGTTTCGTTTGCAATTCCACAGGACTTTCCGAAGTGAACCTAAGCACTGACTTGGTGTTCCGGAAACTGCAGCACTTACGATTAGACACTTCTCCTGGCCCGGACATGGTCCATTCTGCCATACTGAGGGAAGCAGCTTCAATCTTGGCAACGCCGCCTAGCGTGATATTCTCACACTCGCTAAGCCGAGGCAAATTACCGGAAAATTGGAAGTTGGCTCACATCACACCAATTTTCAAAGGAGGTCGACGCAGCGAACCTTCAAGTTACCGACCTGTGGCTCTTCTCTATATACCCTCAAAAATCATGGAGTCTTTGATATGCGATGGTATACATGACTATTTACTGTCCTTAAATTTCTTCTCGCCCCAACAGCATGGTTTCAGGAAGGGTTACTCTTGTATTACCAACCTGCTGACTGCGGTGGACAGATGGACAAGCATCCTTGATCACAAAGGGAAGGTTGATATCATCTACCTAGATTTCTCAAAAGCTTTTGATAAAGTTAAACATACATGTCTTATCAATAAGCGCAAAAGATTGGGTATCAGACAACCTCTAACTGATTGGCTCACTTCATATCTGAAAAATCGACATTTTAAGGTCACGGTTAACTTCAATCTCTCTCAAGCTATGGAATGTCCTAGTGGGGTCCCCCGGGGCCCGGTACTAGGACCTCTTCTCTTCTTGATCCACATAAATGATCTTCCTCAACAGGTAACGTCAGACTTATTACTTTTTGCTGATGACGTTAAACTTTGGAGAGAGATACGCAACCAAGACGATAAACAGGCACTTCAGGAGGATCTGACTCGACTTCAAAGTTGGACAGACGATGACGGACTTACCTTTGACACTTCGAAGTGTAAAGTAGTCCATCTGCGACATGTCACAGACGACAGTTATAACTTAGGTAACTCCTCTGTAGTAGTATCCCAAGTCGAAAAAGATTTAGGAGTCCTGGTGCTTTACGATTTAAAGTCCTACGCTAACTGTGACAAAAATGCCTTCCGAGCAAACCTTGCACTGTTAACATTGAAGCTCATTTTTGGCCAGTTTGACGGAAGAACTTTCCATATAGTCTTCAATAGTTTTATCCGTTCCCATTTAGAGTACGGAAGCATAGTATTTCCCCCGACACTCCAAAAGGATAAGGACACCCTGGAGGGAATCCAACGGCGAGCCACGAAATCGGTTCGAGGACTCAAATTTAAACCCTACGAAGAGCACCTCCATTCACTTAACCTTTACCCATTAGAGTAAAGACGTCTTAGAGGTGACCTTCTGATGGCTTATAGTATCCTCAACACTTCTGGACATCCTCTCAAACACCTACTTAAGCTTAGTTCCAACACTAACCTTAGAGGTAACACCCAAAAACTGGAGACACAACATAGCAGAACAGACTGTAGACACAACTTCTACTCCTTAAGAGTTGTCAAATGCTGGAATTCGCTGCCGGCCGAGCTAGTTCAAGCGACTTCCCAGGAGTCCTTTAAGAGGCAACTTGATCTATTCTTAAGGACTAAGTATAGTATCACACTATGATTTACTAATTTCTTTTCCTTTTTTATTGGTAACGTACCTAGGTTCCTGCCCGGAGGATTTGGTGATCCCCTGCTACCAGACACGGAAGCCTGTTAAGCGAAAGCTTCTTCTATTCCATCCACAACCATTTGAACCATTTGATGCGAAAGTTTCTCCTGTTCCTCCCGTGTTGGTGCCTCAAGGTCAATTAAAGCGCACAGCTTGTAAGATAGCGTTGTTCTTCTGGCTGAAGTGTAAGTCACTGACAAATCATGATGTACAAGTGGTTTTGTGTATAGCTTAAGGAATGTTGTGATTTACAGTGCTTACAACATTATGTGTAGGGCTGAAAATTTACCTTTCTTTGTGATCACAGGCCTCCTAGATCGTCTGCATACGAGTGCTCTCCTCCAAAATCTTAGAAACTGGATTACCTTAACATCAATGACTTACAAAACTACATATTTTTGGGGTCATTTGCCGCTACGTAAACTTAAAGAGACATTTCCAAAACAGGAATAATGTAGGATCTCTACCCCCTTGTTATACATAATTATAGTTATACAATATTGTACAACTATAGTTATACATAACCTATAGGTTTGACTTTTCGTGCAACTAATTGGTCCTTATATCATGAATTTCCTTTTTATATATGACAAGCGGTAATATTCTTATCTGGACTTTGTATACTGTATTCTAAATTTAATCTCTGAGCAAGTCTCAGTAGGTCCGTTTACTTATCTACTGAAAGTCAGTTAATTTTTCCAAGCAGTATATTTCTGGCATAATCAATATAATTGCAGGGGTATTGTCTCATGAATTCCTTGAATGTTCTCGAAGAGATCGACATTGTTAGACCTGTCCAGTTTCAAAAGAAATACACTGAATTTAAACACAGGTCAAACAGATGAAAACAATATTTTTTGGTATGGTGGGAAGATTTGTAGCTCAGGTGGATGATTTTGGTGGAGAACAAAACTCCCCCCCAAAAATATTTCTTGGCAGATCATCGTATTGTTTTTCTGTGATGCTTGATCTATCGCCTTATAATAGTCTAACTAGGTCTGCATCAGTTTTGAATTTCCACAAAGCTGTTTATTTCAAGGAGTCGTTTGCCTTCAATCCTCTATTTGTTTTCATGACATCCAAACAAGTGTTAGATAAAGACACCAATCTGGTGTGCTCGAGTTCGGGTATTTCTTATTGAACTCTTGGCGTTTCTAAGCTGTCAAACTTAATTATTCTATTGTCTTCTCACCGATTAAGAAACAGAAGCGTTCAAAAATTCTTTCGGATACCGAAGGAATATGGGTTGGACTAGTTGGTCTTAGCATATCGAGATTATAGGGTGGAGAATAAGTCAGAATTAATATGACTTCACCGGACTGTTTGGTAATTTTGATTGCCACTCAGTTACTTACTGCATGTATTTGATATTGCATATAACTACATTTACGTTGCTTAGATAAATACATTGGTTTTCGTTACTGTCGTTCTGATCGTGTTCTTCTTCTGTGTGGATATGCAGCTCGACTTCTGCTACAACAAGATTTTAATATTTCATCCGACAATGAGGTTATTCGCAACATTATCCAGAACTATATTGCCCTTCACTGGGGATGTGCAGTATATCTATAACCAACTAAGAAATACTATCAAGTTACCGGGACCCTAGAGAAGAGCACTGGTTAGGTGATGGATTAAGTAAAAATATTACTGGTTCACTATCTCTGAAAATGAATTTTAGACATACTACCAAAGTACCGAATGTCCACCCACCGTTGTTGTTACCTTCTTGTGATGGTCGGTCTTGCCTAGCGTGATGAACCAATTGGGCTATACTGGCTGGGATATTCGTTCCTCAATGTCCTACAATGTCAAGCAGATAGGTTGAAAAACAGTAAGACTAAAAGCAGCAAACTTAAGGTCCAAAGGTGAAGCAGTACTGCTGACTGTACAGGCGTGATGAAAGTAAGGCGTTTTCCCCAGACAGCCAGCATAACAGCGATGCTACCTTCCCACAAAGGTAGAGTGTGGTTATAAAAGTTTGACCCTAAAAATGCACACCTCGCCTTATCCCACGGATATCCATCTCTGGCAGTAAAATTCCAACAAATACGGAACTAGCACAAAAATTAACCACAAAAAGGTCGTGTGTGACTGGCCTTAAGCAGTTGTGCCTTGGGCACTGCAATCACGCTCTCAGGTCACTAAGACCAACTCTAACCCAATATCCTTTTCAAGTTCCTCTAGAAGAACCCTTCTACGGTGTGCGAAACTGGGGAGTGATAATTGTCCTCATACCTTTAACAACAAATAGATCATATTGCTATCAGTTATCGTTGAAGAAGCTCTATAGAAGGCAGCCACTCGTTCTGGAGTACATACTTAGATTCTGATCACGCTCTAATACGAGCACGCACCCCATCTGACTGATCGTCCCAATATATAGGAAAGAATCAAAATCATTCTGTGATAACCATAGACGGATTAGTTTAACTAATATAGCATCTACATTAATTATCCGGCACCTGACAAAGACTCGTTAACTGTAAATACGAGAAAATCAGGGGAGTGATGGCAAATCAGTCGATGAGGTTGTAAATCTTCACCGACTGAGATGGTTAGGCTACGTGTTATGTATGCCTGGACACCGGCTGTCACTGAATGGTGTTGCAGACGGACGGAAGAAAGTTAGGGGCGGCCAAACCAAAAAGTGGCATCAGTCCTTGAAGTCAATAACTTCTAATCTGAACCATGCTGGTAGATTCAGATTACTTGGTTGGAGTCCGCACAACTATCGTAATCAATGGTTGGAGACCCTGGGTGACATGACTGAGAATCGACTACAATGGCATAGGTTTATACACTCTTTGTCTTTCCTTAAACCATGAGATTAAACTTGCTTTATACCTTTATTTCTACGAACCAATTCTTTCTCCCTACATCATATCCTTATATGCAATATTTTTATATATTAAGACCATTAAAGTAACTGCTTTTATGAATTTGGTGTTCATCTTGTTGTGCTGATGAGGTGTGGCAACTTGGACCGATGTATATATGTGCCTGGTCCTACGTTGTAGCTGACCGCCTGACTGTTACTCAATACAACTAGTCATAAAAAGTTAAGCGATCGACCCCAAAGATGGGGATCTCACTACAGTCAAAAAGGAACATTCGTGCTAACACTACAAATTCTTGATACTACGACTTTAAAGTCGTCCCAAAATTGGACGCAGCTGAAATCAAATATAATCGCCATAGTTTTGCCATCCAGGAAAATCAAACGTCAGTCAGTCAGCTACAACGTAGGATCATGCGCATATATTCATCGGTCCAAGTTGCCATACCTCATTAGCACAAGATGAACACCGAATTCATAGTAGTTAATTTAATGGTGGTAATATGTAAAAGAAAGATTGCATATAAGGATATGATGCAGGAAGAAAGAATTAGTACGGAAAAATAAAGGTATGAATCAATTCTAACGGAATACGATACCAATATTAATATACAATCATTGAACAGCAAAGTCATTAAACCAGTTTACTCACAAATGGTCCTGTGTTTCTCAGGGTATCACAGCCCACTTTACAGCGTTTTAACCGCGTAAAACCATTAACGAAATCATACCCGACCAACCGATGGAATTCCGAAGCGAGCAAACCATAACTAAGTTCTAAAGCCCTCATGTACCTGCCCCAAACAATTTCGAGAAACAGTAACGCCCATTAGTATATCAATGCTGTTATTCAGAATCGCAGTGACCGTCCTGTGTATTGTAAAATTTAATAAAAGTCAAACCTTTACATTAATTTTACACTTCAATATTTTTATTATCAACAACAGGCAGCATAAGGTAAAACTTAGAGTAATACTCGTTAACACTGAACACTGTGCCTATAAAACATCTATCAAAAGTTATCACATCAAATTACTACTTACATTATCTTTCCTCCTTCGACAACTTTTTTTTAAGCTTATCACTAATATCACGGAAAGAAACTTGCGTTGCGATGTCATACAATTTTTCAAGGCATTTTTCTGTGACAGTTGATGATTAAAAGCGTGGTAATGCTCCTAATAATTAAGAATAAGACGATACGGTCTTACTTTGTTTGCTATCATGAAGCCTGCAGTTTTGAAGATCTATTAGATGTAGTGCCAAATAGTGTTAAGTAGCTGGGCACTTCAGTTTTCATGACGTATGAAAAAATATGGCGCATGGAAGTTTTTGAATGATTATCTATTAACCGCCTCACTATGACCATCTGAAATGTAAATTAATAGCAAAAAAACTTAGTGAACTTAAAGATTCCTCCTTTTTTATTGTTGAAGACACGTATCCGATGTTCTCAGTTCCTCAGGTGATAAAGAGGAATGTGGACTTGGTAATCTGATAACAAGTCTCCATAGATTATCACGCGCATTTGACTTAGACCGTTACATTAATTATTATTTGTTATTTATTTGAACAGAAACATTGGTACAAAGGAGGCACCAAATACATATGCTCCACACAATAACAATGAGGCTGTGAAGAAATAGAGAATGTAACGTGTGTATAAGAAAAAGGAGAACAACAACGAGCATAAATTAGTGTATGAGAATAAAATAATAATGAGAGATGCAATTTAGTTAGCAGAAATACAACCAGAAAGAATTCTTTCAGTTAAAGAAGTTACGTTTATCTCTCATAATTGGACTGGTAGCTAGACTTGAACCTAACTCGGTTCGATATTTAGTAGCGACAGAAGCTGTAACCAACTTACTGAAATCAATCCGCTTAAGATGATAAATTTTTTAGCCACTAAAATGTAAGGTAAGGTTAGCGCAAACAAGGGCATGATCAGAGTCCAGATAGGTACTCCAAAAGCAATGGCAATCTTGTACACAACCACACCAGCAGTAGCTGATCGCGGTGTGGTCAATCTGGGTTCAGACTTGAGATGCAGAGGGAGGACGCCAGGCAGAACATCGGCGATGACTATGCCGGCATTTAGTGCTAGCCAGAACCAGGTTGTGGTCTGCTCACAGTTGTAGTAGAAGGTCACTGTTATCTGATCTACGATCAACAGGCCCTCACTGACCACCTAAAGGACTCTAGTCTATGCCTAGACGCCCGACCTGAGCATTCAAGTCTCCGGCTAATACTACAATATCTGTTGAACGCACTTTCTGTAAAACATTTGGCTAGTAGTAAAACCCATTCTTGATCGCATCCAGGTTGCAATCTGTCGGAGCATAGGCGGAGACGATGAAACGACATCGTTTCTCACACGGATTTCTCGCTTTGATGGAACTTTCTAATCTAACAGCACATAACGGATTGTTAATGGGATCCAACCGATCAGTGCTGTCTCAGCTCTAGCGCTTAGTGCGACACGAACGCCAGCAAAACCAGACGGAGATACCACAGGGTCCCCGGATAAACGCACGTAAAACAATCTTTTTAAAGCGACAGATGGAGAGCGAATTTGTAGTACTTCACTAGAGTCTTGAATACGGGTCTCGGTAGACAACAGATATCGATATTAAGACTTTCTAAAGACAGCCAGCCCTGTGTGTTGTCCGATGTCCATTAGTGTGCGAACATTGAAGGAGGCCAGTTTGAGTGATATACGTGGTTTCAGAAAGACTTAGTATTCGTAGTCGGTGGTAGCATCCAACTTTCAACCGGTCAGTAACTCGAGATCGTTTAGATAGGACAGGGCTAGCTGCTATATAAGCATAACATTGGCACTCGAGCCTAATACTGCTGATGACATGCTCTGCGTAACAACATGTAGTTTTGCAAATCTAGAACAGACTTGAGTTGTCAATGTTACTTGTTCGGCCGAGAACCTACTACCAACAGGTATAGACGCGGAGGTTGACGACAACGTTTCAACTTATGTAGAATTTATCTAATTCGTTCATAAATATCTTTTGTCTTAAATTTAGCACACACATGTACTCCCATCAGTAAAAGTTGGATGATGTTCGCGTACTCTCGGATTAATGTTGTAAGGTCTATTCCGTTAATAAGAAGCTATGTTGGTTCGTGCTACTTAAGACTTTTTACGACTAAGTCAGATGCAAATGAATCATCAGAAAACTGCGTTGGTAACCTATGCTTATTTTTAATCTAGTATTTTAGTTTCTGATTTTCCACTGCTTAGTGAAGCTGTGAATGCAAAAGACTTTGAATTAGTATCGAAAATAGTTGTGGAACAGGTAATGAACAAAAATACATTCATTTAACATTTGTTCATGTTAAAGGATCCCTTTGAGGTTAAACGCATACGGATCCCTATAGAAAATTCAAAGTCCTCTCCTAATCTTATTCCTTCACAGTCACACAGGCGAATGGTTGGATGCATCTGTAAGTTGACCTTAGCGAATGCTTGTTAGTTTTATTAAGTTCATTTTTCTCTTTTGTATTAAATTATATGATGTAGTGCGCAATCCACAGTTCTGATTTTTCCTAATACACCTGTTGCATAGGATATCAGAATATATCTTGAATGCAAGATTAACAGTTTTGCGAAGTCAGACGAGTTAGTGGCAAAAAGATGTTAGAAGACTACAGATGTCCGTAAAATTATGTATTCCAAGCATTTTTCACATATTGTAAGATCTATTGAGTGACAAAATTACAGAAGCCTTAAGGTAGTCGGACCAATAAATGATCACGGTTCTTGGAGCTTTTAGAACTTGTCATAGCTGTGTAAAAGTTTGTTGGCTAGATGGTCGCTATGGTTAAAGGATGCAAAGAGCTTTTCTAAAAGAAACTAGCAACAACGTGGATGGACCTACTTGTTATCTTTTTGTTGGGAGTTCAAATTGTATTGTCCGCTTACTACTTCCTGATCTTAAACTAATGTTCGTTTTTCAACATATTCATACTAAATACAACTACATCTATTTAGAACTGGGTGTAGAGTGAAGGGAAGATTTCAGCTTTTATTATATTGGTTTTCTACCAATTAGAAAATCCACTGTGGCTCAAATATTGATTCGAATTTTCATATATTATGAGACATTTATCCCACAGACAAAAATTTTATTTGTCTAGAATTTTTTGCTTACTAGCTATATACTAGTCAGACGTGAAGCATTCTAAAGCAGATAATGCGTTTAAGATTGGTTTCTGTACGAAAGCTTATTTGACACATTTTATGACCTCAATATTAGTTTACTTGTAAGTGCATTAGTGAGTTAGTAATGATGATATCACTCCCTGTTGTTTTTGAAGATAAGAAGTGTAGAGTGAATTCAAAACACAGTCAGACACAACAATCCTACATACTATAACATGATAATTTTTGTGTGCATCATGAGAAGGCATAATTTCTGTCTGGAAAAACACTCACATAACATAACAGCTACTATCATAAATGATAACAAGGCTAGTAAAATGAAGAATGATACTACAGTTTTTGTATTAATTAATTTGGATTAATAAGCAACAGTAATCACATGAGTATTGCCTTAGTGAGAGAAGCGGTATAGTTGTATCCAAAAACAGTAATCCGCTCAAACAGTTAGTGCAGTCAACGCAGTTAACATATAACCTGACATAGATAATAAAGATAGTAGTCTAAAATTAATAAACTGGTCTCCCGCCTGTTTCTAAACATGGCAATTTCAACTGCCCTGTAAAAACGGCTATTAGTTATTTTAAATCCCATCATAACTTAAACATAGTACTTTTCGGGTATGGTTAGACGAATAAATGTCTCCGTAAATTAATTTATAGCTAAATATTAAACACGGATTAGATAAAGCTAAGGTATATTCTGAGGTTTACTGAATTATATATTTAGCACAAATTTTTTGAAACTTACGATCACTTTTTTTTCTTAGGTGAACCGGAAGCGGACTCTATCAATTGGCTAGAATTAGAAAAAGGCGATCCAGTTCAGTGTTATTGTGGCCACTGGTTTAAATTAGTCAATTTTGAAGACTACTTTAATATGACTAATCAATAAAACTGTTCATAAATACGTTCTAATCTATTAGTTTAATTTGCTACCATATTCAGTATAATATTCATTGCCGTCTTTGAATAATTGAAAACTGTGTCTTACTATTCAGTGTAATGATAAATGCCAAAACTGAACTGCGTAAAAATGATTCTAATTTAAGTAGTATGTACTCCAAATGTATTTATCTTTCTGTTGGTTATCCTATTGAGTAACTTGTTTACTAACTTGTCGAAAGTGGATAAGATAGCACCAAATATATACAAATACTGACCAAGAACTTTAACAGAGGAATCTGAAGCCCAAAAAGTATGGTCGGTCGTAAGAATTCTACACACTGCTGTATTTATCTTTACTAAAATTGACGTCATAATGTTTCCCTATTCAAAGATGGGTGAAATATTTCTCACAAATATTGGAATTTCAAGTTTCATGATGGATTTGTAAATATATTACTAACCTGTTAGTACTGACATTACTCAACATTGATGTCACTGTTATAGGTCGAAATTTAACGCGGTCAAAGTGTCTTGTGTGTTAATAATTTAGTACATAAATAATAATTTCGACTCACCCAATAAAAGAAGCTTGTAATTGTTTTACAGTACTTTACGAGATGACCTGGAGGAATACACTTGTATTTACTATTCACTTTTTGCAGTTGAACGAGAGTCAGAAGTAAACAATTACCTTTAAGGATATACATGTTATACATGAATATCAGTGTAGTGAAGGAGGCACCCAATATATATGCACCACACCAGTAATTCGATTTGTGTGAGGGCTGGAACACTGCCCGGGCGCCCAGTGGGGCTGCTCCCCGAGCTTTTGACTTGGAGGTCTAATCGACAAGGCAGCTGAGCAACTTTAGACGATGTAGTCCCATGGCATCCGGTGACCTACAATATGCCACAGTTCCCCTCAGGACCCTATGTGCATCATTGGTTCGGAACCAGGGTTCTCAAATAATGAGGCGCCAAGTACATATGCGTCACACAAATCTCATTTGATTTGTGTGAGGGCTGTGATACTGCCCGGGTGCCCAAACCGAAGCAGGTGGTTTGCTTAGAGGGCCACTCCCCGGGCCTTCGACCTAAAGGTCTGACCCACAAGGCAGTGGAGCATCGTGAGGAGATGCAGTCCCATGGTAGCCGGTGACCAACGATTGGTTCATACGTCATTTCTTCCCGCAGAATACTGGAGCCCATGTGCACCATTGATCTAGTTTGGGATCCGGTTAAAGCGCCGGACATTCGATTTTCATCCTCTCATTTTCGTAAACAACAGTAATGCCGCGAGAAGGCAGTGAGTAGGACTTCCCTGGCATAGGCTATATACGCGTGGCCATGTGAGAGCATTTCGAGAGGGAGAGCGGACTCTCCCCACTCTCGGCCGTACCAGGGCATTTGGGGGGGTTCTCAAACCCCCCTAGGTGGATCCTCCATACTCACCACGGGAACTAACATCTCAAAAGAGCCCAGCGCAACCAAGTTAGAGGTGGAACTCCAAGAAATCTCAGCGAACTTTTTCTGAAAACCTTTATCAACATAATTTAAGTAAGATTAGTTATTCACAGGGACAGTAAAACGTAGCATATGAGCCGGTCCGAGTTATCACTTTACTTCAACACTTCAAGAGTGGTGTCCGCTAGATGTGAAGCAGAGGTGTGAAATCTTATTACCTACGAAGAGAAGCTGGATGTTAGAAACATAGAGTTCAGAGGAGAAATGGGGATTATGGAGGGACTTTACACTCAGGATATATGAATGAATTTACGTACAATGAATTTATCTATACATAATTCCGGACTAAAACATCCAAATTCTCCAGAAATGAAGTAGGACTACCGCGATTTCAAGAACTCTTCACCTACGGATACGGCTTAAATCGAAAACACATTTCTTAGATTATGCCCCTAAATTCTGTCCAACCTTCCATGACCAAATCAACTATGCAGAATATTGTAAAATAGCTTGTAGTGTCGGTTATTATTTTAAGCCCATATACCTTATTCTAGCTTTCGAACAGCCCAATCTATTCATCCTACTCAAGTCATATTTTGACCTTGTTAGTTATTCGCTTACCAATCTCGACTGTTTTTATGTGAGCGCATATGTGTGTACATTTCTTATCCCATTCATTTCATGTTCGTAGCTTAATTTTGTGTGACTATAAGTATTGATTAACGCTCGACTAAATAGAGTCGGCTTACCCGCCATCTCCACTGCGCGTCGTCTCGCTTCTCTCTATTCCATTCGATTCATATAAAAAATACGTGTATTCAAAAGTCCATTTTCGTTATTTGACTTATTTAATTCCGTTACTGACTAACGCTCCACTACAAGCTCATCGGTCCAGAATCCAAGGAACCATAATAACAGGTGGTAAATATAAAATGCGACATCACTGTGTAGGTACATAACTAATTTTGATAGCGGAACAGTTAACCTCGCAATAGGATCGACAGACGTCTATGTGCTGTCAGACTAGGTCCAATGGGAGTTTTCACAGATGACGATACACACTGTTGTCTCCTCACCATGCTGACTGCAGCATGGACAAAATAGAAGAGTTCTATCAGAAGCATCCTGACCCAAACACTCGGAGATAGTAATCATGGTTGATTTTAAGGCCCGAGTAGGTGGGGAAAGTGAGAGGCATGTAGAAAAGCATTTTGGGATCCTAGCTGAGCGGATAGGTAACGGTGACCGCCTGTCACGATCGTGTATTCTTAACATGCACCGACCTTAAGCATGAGCAGAAACACTGCATAACCTGGAGATTACTGGTACCATTACGGCAGTAAATGAATGTAATTGGAGATGTTCGGTTTAAGACCAGTGGTCTCTCGACAGGAAATGTCTAGACTTTAAAATTGCCCTAGTATGAACTTGTGTGTCGGCCTTTGGAAAGAAGTGCAACGAGACCTTAAAGGGTAAATACTGTAGTGTCAGTTATTATGTTAAGCCTATATATCTTATTCTAGCTTTCGGACATCCCATTCTATTCATTCTACTTGAGTCATATTTTGACCTTGTCAATTATTCGCTTATCAGTCTTGACTGTTTTTATATGAGCGTACATGTGTGTACACTTCACATCACATGTCTGTAGCTTATTTTTGTCTACCTAGAAATATTGGTTAACGCCTGACTAAAAATGAGTTGGCTTCTCAGCTATCTCCACTCTGCATCGCTTCTCTTCTCGCTATTCCATTCACCTTGTATACAAAATATATGTATTCAAAATTCTATTCTCGTTATTTGACTTACTTAATTCCGTTATTGACTAACGTGATTAAAGTCGATGATATACGAGAATCGGCGATAGCAAACATCCATACGATCTAAACAGGAGTCAGATACACGCGCCACTAAAATACGTCAAGGTAAAACTAACCATATAAAAATGTTTATATTGAGGTAGCCTAGGATGATCAACAATCTGCCGTAAAAACAGCAATGAAATCCATTAGTAACCTGAATCAAGAGACAATTTCAAACAGTCTAGATCTTATGTATTCGCGATGTTACCAGCAAATATGAATAAGCACTGGCTGTTTCTGAACTTTATTTTTATCCTTAATTATTCATTCGTTCAGTGGTAAATGGTTACTTTGGCTGAGCAATTGTACATAAATAATGACTAGTTTCGTAACATATTCTCGTTATCAGCTGGTCAGAGGTTCTTTGTTCTGAATTTTTTTCTTTTAGTTTTAGAGATTGGTTTAGCAAGCAAATTATTTGTTCAACCACTCAAATATTTTATCACACTAACTGGGTCATTATAAGAAAAGCGATATCGTCGCCTGTTTTTTAATCATACGGAAATGAAAGCCTTAACAGAAAATATAACCCATCCAGTGCCATAATGCTTTCAAACCATAAAGTATAAACTTGGTTCCTCTACAACTCCAACTGTAGCTTTTCTAGGGCTACTGCCGGTACCAAACCCGGGTAAAGGAGGAGCGTTGAGCGTCAGATCGGCAACCCCATCCAGCAGAAAACAACCTCGTTAAAAAGCGCTACCCCCCCCCCAAAGAATATTTAAACTCTGCCCTCCGAGTCGAAGGATTTCCGTTCAGAAGTTATGACGCCTCATGGCGAAAGCCAGGATTCTTCAGAAGTCACGAGGACAATACTCCTTCTAACAACTAGAGCCACAATTAATATAGGTAAATGGAATGTCCGGATAATGTGGGAGATCGGGATGACTAATCAAATGGCTAGGAAAATGAAGAGATACAAGTTGGTGGTGCTCGGAATCAGTGAAACCAGTTAGATTCAAGCTGAACAGAGAGGGTTAAATTCAAGGGAGATACTGCTGTACTCCGACCATGAAGAGGAAAATGATCCACAGACGCAGAGAGTTGCTCTGACACTGTCTAAAGAAGTACTTACAGCACTTGTGAGATGGGGATCTCATAAATCTAGAATCATCAAAACATCCTTCAAGACAAGGAAAGAGGAAATAACAATGAAAGTTATGCACTCACCAGTGATAGCAATGACGACGACAAAGTCCAGTTTCACGAGAGGCTGCAATTGGTCGTAGAGAAGTGGACAGCTTGGATGCGACTAGACGATTTGGACCTAGCTCTTCTATCCCATACACTGCAACAAATGCAGGTAACGACAGTCAGTGTAGCAGTAAGCCAAGACATACACAAGGGAAAAAGCAAGATCCTCAAATACAGCACGGAGAACATCAACCTAAACACACTTGGTGAAGTTCCGGAAGAGGTGGAAACTTTCATTTACCTGAGCAGCATCATAGATGAACAAGGAGGATTCGGTGCAGACGTAACGGCAAGGATTGACAAAGCAAGGACAGCATTCCTACAGTTGGAGGGCATATGGAACTCAAGGAAACTATCCGCCAACATCAAAGTCAGAATCTTCAGTAGGAACGTTAGGGAAGTTCTACTGTACGGAGCTGAAATTTGGGGAACTACTATAACTATAATCAAAATAGTACAATTGTCTACGCAAGATACTGAATGTCCG